ACTATGTTGGGTACAGCCTCAGTCACCAAAAGAATCTTATGAATGTTGGAAGTTTTGTAGAGTTGATAAAGCCATTAAAAAATATGAAGGATTATACCAGCGACTATTTTTTGGTGCATATAGAATGAGACGAATCACAGGTGTTTTAATGGAATCTCAACTCCAACACATACCTCAGAAGGCTAGATGTCTAGTTAATCTCTCCGCTAGAACTTCCTTAACCCTGTAAATTGCCCAGCTAAATTTGTGGTATTTTTAGCCAGCTTAGCCAATCTTCTGTATTGGAACTACCATTACTACCTGTACTTTTGTAATATTTTGCATCTACGTTAATGCCTATTAATGATCTCTTCAAAAATAAAAAAAACATAGGTGTTGTTCAGCTCAAGGACTAGTAATGCATGAATTATAGTGTAATAAACTAGCAATTTTTTATGCATCTTCACTATTTGTCTTTCCCTTCTATCCAATGATTGTAAAAAAAATGACCAATTCATTGTTTTTGCATCGGATAATGAGCAACTTATTGATCCACGAAGAATAATGTAGCGATTGTTATGCGAGGAGTATTTATAAACTATAAATGTAAGAATTGTTATGTGGTAAGTAATAATAAAGGCACTGGTAAGGTTGCCTATTTAAGGGGCATCTTCTGAGAAATCGGTCTAGAGAAAACCGTTTGGGTCAAGCGCAGCTTTCGAAACTTGGGGGATGATGGGTCCGCCGCCCCTCTATCCTTCTCCACTTGAATATTGAACATAGTTTGCTAGCCATAAGGCTCGAACTTGTGACCTACGACACAAGACCCTCAACTTAGCATATTTTTATCTTTAGATACTCGAATCTGTGCATTGTTAATTCTTATTCCCACGACCAAATCCAAGGTCCCTGGTATCTCAATCTTTAGTTTCTCAACATAGATACGAGCCCAAAACATTTGTGCTTTGTTTTTTGTATCGTCTATTCTGACATAGCCACCACATAGATCACCAACGGATAGATGTGTCCAAACTCCAACCGCGTAGAGAAATACCAAAAGCTTTAATCCATCTTTTCTCATTTCTATGATTCGTCACTTCAAATCCCGTTAGGGAGACCACCACTCCAGCAATAGTGTTCTTCCATTCCAGAACTAGTCCAAGCCTTTGCTCTGATAACTTCCTGCCTGATGGAAGATCGAATGGAAACTGATTGTGGTCGATCCCCTAAGACCAGCAGTTATTTTCCACCTATTTAAGAACCATTTTTGTACCACCTATGGATTCGGACGCATGTTGAAGGGGCCACTAAAACAACCAATGAGATATTTACAGAGGAATTGGGTGTTATCAAGCTCCACAGGAGATGTTTTCTTTGTTTTAAAACTCCTTGTAGCAACTACTGAATTTCTGTCTATTTAAGAATTTTTGCAGTCTCCATATATGACTTGGCTCGACCTCAGCTAAATGAAATCTTTAATCATTTCCTTCCCCCAGAAGACAAAAGATCTTCTCTGAGCCGAGCTTCCACCATTACGAAAAGACTGTAAATATTGAAATTCTAAAAAACTCTGTGAATGAATGTATGCTTCTTGCCCATCTCCTGCAGCTATCCCCTGTAACAAGTGAAACTTGCTTAAGTGCTTCACAAACCCAACGCAAATTCCTTTGGTTGATTTTTAACCTGCTAATGAATCTCTTATTACGTTCAATAAGTATGAACCATCTGTCAAAATCCTCGCTTATCAACAAACTCGAACTATTTATCTCCTCAAACAAAAAGGATTCTTTTTTTGACACTAGTAACAATTGTATTTCAGTCAGTACTACCTTAGTACTGAAAAACCATATTTACAAAAAAGAAGAAGAAGGTTATAGTCTTTCCAAAGCTAAACCAAGATTTAGATGGATCCTAAAACATCTATGATTAACTCAATCTCATTGGAGTAGACATTTGTACACCAAAAACAGACAACAAAATACATTTAAGCTTGACTTCTTGCAGGTTGTTGTTCCTATTTTCAAAACATCTATCATTTCTCTCTGTTCATATAGTCCATCATATACAAGCAGGGATCATCCTCCATCTTTCACTGTTTGTAGCCCCAACTCCAGCCTCCTCCCAACCGAAAGGAGTCTCATCAATCTTACTAAGCATACTCCAGGAAATGCCTTTGAGATTAAGGAAATTTGCCACAGTTGGTCAGTGAAATTGTAGTGTAGAAAGAGGTGTCTTACTATAAGGAGCATCTGTTGCATAGAGATATACCTCTCTTGGCCACATTGTCCAATGTCAGAACTGCTTCATTGGCTAGCAGCCAGGTGAAGCATGCCACTTTTTGTGGCACTTTGATTCTCCAGATTTGCTTCCAAGGCCATTTAAAGACTTGATTCTCCCTAAGACTTGTTAGTTTATATCCTTCCTTCACCATGTATCCCCATGCCACCACAAATAATCCTCACCTATTTGGATTCCTCGGGAACTCTCCGGTAGCTTGAGAAGTTTAATCATTCGGGGAATTTCCCAGTCATTCAAGTTTCTTCTAAGGATCATATTCCATCCTTGTGGTGACCACATTTCAGCAATAGTTTTCTGTTGGTGTTGAGCCAAAACAAAGATGTTAGGAAAGAGATCTTTAAGGCTCGCAGTACCCATCCATTTATCAACCCAAAAACTTGTTTTTTTGCCATTTCGAACCTTGACCGTTAATTGATTACTTAGAATTTGCCAAAATATTCTAATGGATTTCCAAAGGCTAATATCATAGGGGGTATTGACCTCTTTAGTTACCCATGTGTTCAGTTCCTCATACTTGCTCTTGATTACCCTGTACCAGAGGGCTATCAAAAAGGATTTTCTCAACCATAATGTTGATGTAATAATCACTGACAGCATAAATAGGAGAGATGAAAAGATAGGCCCATTTCCCAGGAGAGAGAAAAAATTTCCAAAAGTACTATCAAGTCCACGTAACTTGAACTTATGAAGCTTCCAAAACCATTCTCTTCTTGACATTGTCTTTGAACCAAACTCAAAGAGGAATCTATTGTGACCCATTCCGTAGATATTGAGTCCACGTTGTTGCTTCTAAGAGTAACTAGCCCACCGAACGAATCTCTGATAAAGTGGGGATATTGGTGATTTTATAGGAAGACTACCAACAACATTCCTGCTAAAGTTTGAACTGAGTTGAACTGGGTCCTCGAAAGATTTGAACGGTCCCCTTCTTTTCCTGGACTGAAGCTTCATTTATTTTCCTTATGTCTATTTATTTCTTCTGACAGTTTCTGGATATGGAAGATCTTACTCAGTAGTTTTTGGAGTATGTGTAATTGTCCTCTAGGCTTTGTAATTGTTAGAATAGAAATAGGAATAGGATTGTATATAGTAATCTACATGGAAAATATTGTAATGTAATGTCTATAAATAGGGCTCAGTGTAATAATGTAAATACAATTCGATAATATTTTTCTCCTCTATTTCTCAAAGTAATAAATGTTTTCTACTTCAACAGTAATGTCCATCTTGTATTGAATGTCAATTCAGGGATGATGATTACTGATCTCTTTTTCCCTTCGTTGCTTATGATGTTTATATATAGCCTGTTTGTTGTAGTTTCTTCCACAAAAGAACTATGAGAAATGATCCTGAAACTTCTAATCTTCTCACTGAGTTTTTTTTTTTTGAGAATGGTAACAGGCACACTGAGTTCCCTTTCACACTCGAGGCATCCCTCAAAGCATAGCATATCCACTCCATTGTCTTCTGGTTAAAATAAGTTCTTCTAATCATGTTTTGCCTCGTTTTGTCCAGTCATATCATACCTCTGTTCTTGATGCATTCTAGTAATATCATATGATTCAAAACCTATTACAAAGTAAAATTGTGTGGCCGTCCATCACCACATATGCTAAGAAATTTTTGTTGGGGTTGATGCTTGTTCGGCCTAGGCGGTAGGAAAATCCCTTTGGAAGGCAAATATTATTGAAGAAAGGTTAAACGAAATATCCTCGGGAAAAGTGCTAGGGGGGCATTTTATCTCAAACTTAGTGTTGTTCCTTACAACCTTCAAAATGAATTCCTTTGTGTGTTAGTTAATGAAGGTGTATTCAATTTTGGTTCGCTCGGCAAGGTTTAGATGGTCATGTGTTGGTAGCACAGCACGTCTTATATATTTGGGGCTTGACACTAATATCCAAAGAGGTGCAAGGGATTTAATCTTACGAATTTGAAATACCAGGACTAAATCCATCCATCCAAAGACATCTTTATTATATGGACGTGGGACTTAACTCCAATATCAAAAAAATAAAAAAATATCATGAATAATCAATCAAAGAATAAGTCAAAGAATGGTGTTAGCTACCATTCTAGCAGTTATTAAGTTAGAAAATTTACCTATAAGAAATTATCAACTTTAAAATTAATCCAAGCTGATTTTCAAATCTATAGAATTTATGTTTCATAAACATTTCAATACCAAGAGCTAAAACATGCAAGAGTATTATAATATACATATTTCATGAACAAAAGTAACAAATGCAGGGGCAGTTTTTATTTTTATTTTATAAAGTAATAATGCAGGGGCAAATTTACCTTGCTTCAAACGGTGTCATGGGACTTTTATTCGTGGACAAACTTTAAAAATTATATACAACATCATTTGAAACACAAGGGTTAACATAATAAGCAATTTGAATTTTGAGCCTGTCACTTAAAATATTAGATATTGGAAATCTTTGAACAGTTGACCTCCTACCAACCAAATCAGGAACAACAAATCCAACTGAGCTAGATCAATTCCTAAGTCATACAGAGAATAAAAATTTGAAACAATGTTGGAACAAACTCAAAAACCTAAGTTTGAAATATTACTCAGTCTCCTCTCAATTTTTTTTGGGCAACCTGCAGCTGCTTGATGCTATTTATTTATTTATCTTCTGTCTATAATTAAATTTAAAGGCTGAGACAGATTTCTCATAGGAGTATAATTATTCGGAATTTGAGAAAGTAATACGCACCAGACATTACAGAATCTGTGTAAGCATTTTCTTCGTGGAGGTAAGAGAGGAGCTCTGGGTTAGAACGAGAGTCATCACGGAGCCAGTAGTAGTTGTCTACTCTAACGTCCCCGAACAACTCCATATCGTGCCTCAGTTTCTTTGGCGTCGGCGGCGAAGGCGACTGCGACGGTGTGGTTTTTGCCATAGCTCGCAGGGAGAAAACGGAAGAAACTTTAGAGCGGAACCGAATTGACAGCTTAGCCCTGGTAGCAGCAACACAAGCAGAACCCAACACTAAAAACAATGGTCGCCCGACGCACGACTCAACCATTCAAAGCGGCGTTGGCGTGGCAATTCTTTTTGTTGGTATAGAACGGGTCTTACTAAAAGCTCCTTTCAAAAAGTTTTTGACCCTAGTCGACTTAAGGGGTCTTTTTGTGCTATATTTTTAACGGAAAAGGGTCAAAATTGTCCCTGAACTATGAGATATAGACCACTTATACCTTCTGTTACATTTTAGGATCAAAAATGCCCCTACCCTTATTCTAAGAGACCACAATTACTCTTAGGACTTAACAGAAGTGATTTGGCAAGCCACATGGCACTAATTCCGCCACATAGGCTTGCCAACTAGGATACCCACTAAAATTTTTTACCCAATTAATAATTCAACCCTAACCCATTTTTATTAGACCCACCCACTAAATTTAGGAGGGAAACGTCATATTTTTCACCTCATTCCATTTTCATTATTCAATTCACCAAGGAGAAATTTTTGAAGAACATATTTCACTTGAAGAATCTTTTCTTCTGGAATCTCGATCTAGAAGGTAAATTCTCTTCTATTTCAGTATGTAACTGATTTTTTGTTTACTTACAGTAGGATTTTAAACATTTTTCATAGTTGTATTTTGAAGTTAGGGTTTATATGCAAAATTGGTTTGCCAATATTTTAGTATATATTGATGTATATTCTGATGATTCTTCATATTTGAGATAAAATACTACTTTTCCTTCAATTTTACATGTGTTGGGATTTGATCTGTCAGGAGGAGTTAAAGTCTTGTATGTCTTTTATCTTGTTTTGAGGTCCCTTCTTGCTGTTTCTATGTTGGTATTGACAGATATTTAGGCTACATTCAAATAATTTAAGATTTTTATTCTCGAATCTGAATGTGTGGTCCCAATCTAAGTATTGTTTAATCCCTCTTTTTGGTGTTTTTTTACTGCTAAGTCACTTGCTTTGTTTTTATATGTTATAAAAGTCACTTTATTCTTGTTAGAAGCTTTTTTCTTATTTATATGTGCTTAGTTTATTAATGTGGGGTCCTATATATTTATGTTTTGCTATTTTTTTTGCAGAAAATTCAATATGGAAGATATGAATGTTGATCTTTTATTTCACCATGGAGGTAAATGGACTTTAAAACCTCACCTACTATATGATGAGAGGTATGTTCATTCTTTGAGGGCCTTTAATTCCAATCACCTAAATTTGATTGACATAAAAGAGGTGTTTGAAAATAACTTGAGTTTTGTATTAGTTAAACAAGTACTTGTAAAAGGACCTTCTGGAAATTTGTTTTTGGTTCAAGATTCTGATGGAATTAGGATACTTCAGGAGTTACTAACTGAAGCGTTTAGGGTAGTTCATGTATTTACTATTGATGATAATGAAGAAATTGTTTTTGCCCCTAACATTATCAATCATAGTGAAACATATCATGTTCAGTGTGAGTATGGGACTGACGCCGAGTCAGAAAGTGATGATGGTTTGGTTGATCCTACTTCAGATGGTGAGTATGACTTTGATGAATTAGAGATCATTAAGATGCAAAAAAACAAGGAAGTCAATGCTAATCTAAGTCATTACAAAGACCTTTTTCTTAATGTGACCTTTAAGAACTTAGATGATGCTAGGAAAACTTGTAATTTATATGCCCTGGCGACTAAAAAACCTTTGAAAGTTGCAAAAAGTGACCGAAAAAGATTAAGATACAGATGCATAGAGGGTTGTCCATTTGCAATTCTTGTTTCACTTGATGGTAAAGGTCCAGGATATAAACTTAAGACTTTTAAGCAAGAACACAACTGTGAAGAGGCATTACACAATCCTAGAGCTACCACAAACACTTTATCCCATTATTTCAAAAGCAAAGTTCAGAATAATCCCAAGTATGCGCTGAAGGATATGAAACAAGACTTGATGGATAATTTCAACTTAAATACTAATGATTCAAAGTTGAAAAGGGCCAAGAGAATGGCCCTTCAAAAAATGCAAGGCAGTTTTTTGGATGAATACAACAGATTGGAGGCGTATGCAAATGAGATTAGAATGACTAATCCCAGTAGTGATGTGGTGATTAACTTATCAAAAGATGCAATGGTACAAGGAAAAAGAAAATTTCTCAGAATGTACATATGTTTTAATGCAATGAAGGTTGGATGGAAAGAAGGATTAAGACCACTCATAGGACTTGATGGGACATTTTTAAAGGGCCAATGCAAGGGGCAATTACTGGTGGCTATGGCACAAGACTGCGATAACTCTTTCTATCCATTGGTGTGGGCTATAGTGGATAAGGAGACCACTACGACATGGACATGGTTCTTACAGTTGTTGGAGAAGTCATTGAATCTGAAGAATGGTGATAGCATCACATTTATGTCTGACATGCAGAAGGTAAGTACTAATTTGTGTTTATGTAACCTAATAATATACAGTTTTTTATAAGTACTAATTGGTTTGACATGTACAGGGATTACTGAATGCAGTGGAAAATGTCCTTCCATTATCAAACCATAGGTACTATTAAGATGTTTTTAAGTGCTATCTTGGTTTTGCTAACTAACATGAACTTCTAATTATTTATAGATATTGTGTAAGACATGTTGAGGCCAATTGGATGAAGAGATTTAGGACCGGAAAGATGAAGAAACTTATGTGGTGGGCTGCTTGGTGTACTTATGAAGAAGATTTTAAGGACCAATTGAATGCTCTTGGTGCATTATCAGAGGAAGCTGCTAAAGATTTGGTCAAGTTTCCACCACAAAAATGGTGCAGAACATATTTTGATACTTTGTGCAAAAATCAGTTGGTAGATAATAATTTCACTGAATCCTTCAACTCTTGGATCTTGGTACCTAGAGGCAAGCCTATCTTGAAGATGCTTGAAGAGATTAGAGACAAAATAATGAACAGGTTGAGAAAGAAGGAAAAAGAGGCAGAAACATGGAACATTCATTACAAACACAGTCCTAAGTGTATGGAATTGTTCATTGCCTACAGTAAGATTGCCAACTTATGCAAGCTTGAGTTTAATGGGGACCTTGGGTTTGAAGTGTCTGAGGGTGAAGATAGGCACATAGTGAATATTGTGGAGAAGAAGTGCAGTTGCAGGTAAATAGATTAATTAAGACTATTATGTAACTGTGATTATGTAATATTCACACGAACTAATTATTGCTTTTCATTTTAGGTCTTGGTAGTTGACTGGCATCCCATGCCCTCATGCCATCAAAGCATTGCGCTACAAAAATATTGAGCCTCGAGATGAAATAAGTTGGTGGTACACTAAAGAAGCCTATCTTAAAACATACGGGGCCAAGTTGTTGCCTATGAGAGGTGAACAATTCTGGCAAGTATTGCCAGAACATGCCATGGACCCACCTGATCTTGTAAAAACTGTTGGAAGGCCAAAATTTAAAAGAGATAGAGAAAAAAATGCAGCAATCAAAAGATTTGGAGAGTGGTCTCACTCAAGAAAAGGAACTAAGATGACACTTAGCAAGTGTGGTTCACAAGCTCACAATGCAAGGTCTTGCAAGGTAACAATTTTTTAATTTAAAAGTTAGCTATATAATGTTCATATGAACTAATTTAATGACTTATTTAAAAATATTTTAGGCTAGTGAGGAAGGCAGCATTTCAAGTCTTAAGAGGAAGAGGGGCAGGACTGAAGAGGCAGAACAAGATGAAGAAGTTTTTGATGTCAATAGTTCAGCCCCTCAACTAACTCAAGAAGGATTTGAAAGTGACATATATGCACCAAGACAGAGACAATATGAACCTTTTGGTCCTACTAGAGAACTTGAAAGTGATCCTATTTTAAGGCCTCGTATAATTTTTGAAGAGTTAACAAGGCTTAAGATGAGGCAGAACCAACAAACAAGATCTGCCAATAGAGTGATCACTTTCAGAGGTGATCATAGAGGAGTGAGTGAGCCTACATATTTGCCTTACTCACCCACTAAAGTCACATGGAAAGGAAAAGAAGCTATGACTAGTAATCAGTTGGAAAGGGCAAGAGAGAAGAAGGTGGGGAAGTTGAAGACCAAGAAAGCAAATGGAAGATCCCAAATTTAGACTCTTGGTAGTTGGAAGTATTAAGTATATGTCAGCTTCTGTTAAAAAAAAAAATTGAGATACCGAAATGTTGGTTTTTGTATGATCTGGCAAGTGCAAACAATGGCATTACTATTTTATTTTGTTGTTATGTTATGGATGTAAACAATACACAACTGCTTATGTTTTATTTTGAATCGAAGCTTTGTTTTGAATGAATATTTGTTTGGCCAGTTTTTGTTTCAGGTTCTTGGTCTGTTTTGGGTTAGTTAAGGTGTTAACTGTTATGGTTTGAATTACAGTATTGTTGTTTGGCCAATTTTTGAAATTTGACAGGTGATTAGCAATTATATTGTTGCTTGCTGCAGTTAAGTTGTTGTTATGGTATGAATACCTTTATATTTTTTTTTTGTGTTGCTCTCCTGGAGAATTCTTTAGCCGCCGAAGTCAGTGACTGAAATTGATCTGATCTTATGGACAACGAAAGCATCTGGTAACTTTGTTCCTGTTTGTTTTGCTATGGCGGATGCGTATTTGATCGAACAGATTCATGGATATTCGACAAGGAATGATATTGATCCAGATCACAATTCAGGGGTGGATTAATCAAGGCTTGCGGGTGTTCCGGGTGAAAGCTCATCTTATGTTTCTCACTAATGTGGTTGCTTGGAGTAGTATGATATTAGCGTTACGCATACGGGCAGGCACTTGTGGTTTTTTGAGCAAATGGAGAAGGCTAATGTCAGGCTTGATGGAATTACTTTTTTTAGGCTTTTGAAAGCTTGTAGTCACGCTGGACTAGTTGATGAAGCACATATATATACTTTTCTCGTATGAGTGATCATCACTACGCTTGCTTGATAGATGTATTAAGTAGGGTAGGAAGATTGCATCAAGTGTATAACTAGGAAATGCAGTGAAAGTGACTGCGAAAGTCATCATGCTGCAAAGATTCTATAGTTTTCTTGTTATACATATAAATGATTCTGTCTCTTTATTGAAACAGACAGACAGAGACGTCTATCGTGAAGTTCCATGTAATTTTAACTCGATCCACCTCTAATGGAAATATCCTAAATCAAACTATACTTTTAATAAAATTTCTAATTTCGTCACAAAAGCACCTGAGCTCTCTTTCATTATCTCATTAATTTAACTTCTTTCCTTATTTGATTTCTTTTATAATTTTCCCCTAAAAGTTCTGTCAAGACAATTGAAAATTGAATCGTCACCTGTATGTATCTCCCAAAAAATCCCTCCCTTTTTATTTGTAAAATCTTGACAGCCAAGAAGAAAAAAGATTCAATTTTTGCTACACCCTTTAATCGTTAATGCAGTATTATACTTGAGTCTCTTGTAAAGTTTTCAAGATTTGCCTGCTCCAAGAAAGGTTTAACACCTTAGGAGGCGAGTTAACAGTTGGAGTTGTTAGTGATGAAGATATTGTAGCTACTGAACCTTAGAGTTTTTTTGCGCTCTTTGCTTTTGATGATCTTTTGGCCTTCAATATTCTATTACTCAATTGATGCAGTACTACTCTTTATATTGTTCATCTAAAATTGGACTTAGACGATCTTAAATATAGCAGAATGGACACTACTATGATAACTTGATACACCACGATTTCAACTAAGAAAGAGCAAGTGTTTTTGACCTACTCTGACAATCAGTAGGGTGTCTTGATTCAAGTTTATGAAGGTGAAATAGCTTACCTCTCGTTTCAGTTGATCGATTACGTTAGTCCTAATCAAAGCAAAATTTCGTTGCTTTCTCAAGATCATCGGGATTGATTTCAAAGCTAAAGCGAAATTTCATGGTCGTCTTTATACCTCAAGCTTGGGTTGTAGCTATGAGGTTGAACTGACCGTTCCATCTGCAGTCTACATGTTCTGTTTCAAACCCAATATTATATGTTGCGCCAAAATTGACAAGGAGAAGGTACACTAATATGTTGCTTCTTTAAGGAGTTGTAAACGTCCCAAAGTTTATGAAGGCAAACATATATGTACATTGATGAAGTTATAAAAAAGAAGGGAATAAATCAAAGTAATAGCTAATTGATGAAGTTGTAAATAAGTAGGGAAAGCAAAAGATTTTTATATTTTTGTGGGTTAATCCAACAAAAATGGGTTAGGACTGAATTATTAATTGGGTCAAAAAATTTAGTGGGTATCCTAGTTAGCAAGCCTAGGTGGCGGATTTAGTGCCATGTGGCTTGCCAAATCACTTCTGTTAAGTCCTAAGGGTAATTGTGGTCTCTTAGAATAACGGTAGGGGCATTTTTTATCCTAAAATGTAACAGAGGGTATAAGTGGTCTATATCTCATAGTTCAGGGGCAATTTTGACCCTTTTCCGTATTTTTAATTAGATAAGTTTTTACTACTTTTAGTTGGTTATAAAATGTGGGATAACTAATTTCATGATTAATAATTATAATTGAGATAAGTATTTTTATTTATGGGTGTAATATTAATCTTATGATAACTTATTCACGATGAAATATAAAATAACAAAAGTACATTTTTAAACCCTCTTTTATACATTACCTTTCATACATATATATTTAATGTATAATAGGTGAAATGGTCTAACAGACCCTAATACTTTGGTCGTATTGTAAACTAGATTTTTATACTTACGACTTTGTCTACTGAACACATAAACTTGATGAAACACAATATTTTAAAGGTCATTTTACATCAATAATCTATATATATATATATATATATATATATATAATAGGAGAGGTGATAGTGCTTAGGTGTCAGTGCCACATTAATCTCACATTTTTTGCTTTTAAAAATCAATTAACAATTAATTCTATATACAACAATCCGTGGAAAAAATTGAAATCAGTTTTAATTATACACGTGTCATCTTCTTAGTTAATCACTATTTTTACATTTAAAATAATAATAATAATAATAATAATAATATATATATATATTATATATATATAATAAGCCACAATGCAAATATATATAAAGTATTTAGTTACATTGTAACTATCTTGTTAGCTTTCAACCAAAAGCTAACAAGATTTTTAGTTACATATTTATTCTTTGGTTAAATAATAAATATGTCATTGTATGAGCTATTTATTACTCATTCCTTTTGAATTTGTTAATCTGATTTTGATCTGACACATAATTTACGAAAGTAAATTAGAAAATAAATTAGATTTTGAGAAAAAACATTAAGTGATACTTGAAGTTGTCCCAGATTTTCAAAAAGACATATTAATTTTGCGTGCATCCTATTACCCCACAAAACATTCAAAATCACAATAAATACACATTTTTTACACAATATTTCCACTTTGGACAAAAATATCCTTCGAATGTGCAATTTCTTAAAAACAAAAAGTCGGACCCATTATTGATGTATTGAAGGATGCTTTGGTAATTCCCTATGATGAATTCGTTTTGTTTGTTTCTTTTAAATTTATTTTACTATACTAAATAATTGTATAAAATATTATGAATCACGATAATTAATTACTTAAATATTTAAAAGATATAAAAATATATAAAAGATCTTACTGACTCTTCAAATTTTACCGGTGACACATAAATTGGAACAAATGAAATAGTATATATTATTTGAAAATTTCTTAGAAAGTACTATAAATTACAGTAATTAACAGCTAGAAATATTTCAAAGACAAAAAAAATTGATTGAATCTCAATTTTTTTTAGTATTACATAAATTGAGAAAGAAGAAATGACCTCTATTATTTGAAAATGGCGTAAAAATATTACAAATCATACCATAAGAATTAACAATTTAAAATTTTAAAAGACTTTAATACTTTATACTTATTCTATTTCCACTTTGGACAAAAATATCCTCTCAATATGCATATTTTTTTAAACAAAAAGTGGGACCCATTATTGATGTATTCAAGGATGCTTTGGTAATTTTCCTATGATGAATTCATTTTGTTTGTTGTTTAATTTTTTTTAAATAATTGTATAAAATATTATAAATCACAATAATTATTTACTTAAATACTCAAAAGATATAAAAATATGTAAAAGATCTGATTAACTCTTCAA